CCGGAATACGGAGTGGAGATGTCTACGTGCTAAACCTCAACCTATGGCCGCGAGGCAGGGACGTCGCCGGTAGGCCCGAGCCCCGTCACTAGCTGTCGCGCCACCTACATACATATCCGTACAAGTGATAATCGAATGAGAGGCAAGAGGGACATATGAACTCCTAGAAAAATCTGCGACAGCCTTCTTTATCGCCATCAAAATGCACGCGGATTGGGCGTCCATAGAAGGTGTATGCGCCTTATACTAAGAGCCTCTTTATTTATTTGAATAAAATAATGAAGAATATGCTCGGAAGAATTTTCACATCACTTTCGTACAGTGAAAATGGATATGTCTATTTATGGACTGACCCAGGTGACAATGGAAACAAGAATTGTAGTTCTGTGTTCGATAACTGTGGAGAAGTGTACTAATTGCGTCAGTGTACGCTTTATACATTTGTATTGCGGTAAGGAGATTTCCTGATGGAAAAAAAATAATTAATATGTGAAACCGTGCTTTAATTGTACTACAAAGTCCATCACTCTACATGAAGTGATCTAGTCGAAGTGACCATCTAGCCAAACCAGAAAGTATTAATAATAATTACCCTGAAAATAACATAAAAATGCCTAGCTATCAAATTGTGTAACATTAAGCAAACACGTTTACTGATTTTTCATTTTCTATATTAGTTTATAATAGAATGTAAAAAAGGATAGGAAAAAAACCCTTCAGTGGCCAGTAGATTTGAGTTCATATCACGCTCATCGATTTTTTGCCTCCGAATACTGCTTCGATGATATGATTTTCCATCAGAATATAGACGCCTTCTCGACCACATACATATTTCTGACCGCTATAATGGATGAATAGCGTGCCACATAACGAAAGTACCCACATAGCGAAGACAAACTACATACAAACGACCTATGACGCACTACCCACCAACTTTCTGTTTTCAGCGTCAACATCACTTCGATCTCCCGGGCGCCGGCGTCCATTGTCCCCTCGTCCCAACTTGGAGGCGCCCGGCGGCGTCGCGTCGCCCCCGCGTTACGCGGCCTACCTCCACCCCCGCGTCCACCCCTCCTTGTTACTGTTTCCTCGTTTCCCGTCCTCGCCAGAGTTCGCGACTGATGACGCAGCCCGTTGGTTTTGTTCTTGCGACATCCGACGTCGTCGCGTCCCCTCGCGCCGCCTCCCCTTCTCGCCCCCCCCCTCGCCAGCGCCATTCGCCACGCCCCTTGTCTCGCTGGAATAATTGCTGGCGCTTGAAGCTGATGGCGCGCGGGAGAGGGTGGGTAAATCTGAAGATAATCGGCGACACTTTCTCTAAAGGATTGAGATGCTGGGATCAAGAGTGAGTGGAAATCGTTATCTAGGGTGATGAGCAGATTCCGGGATTACGCTGACTTTAAAACTGATTGTAAGGGAAGACGAAATTTGCTTACTTTTACGGAGTATACAGCAGTTCATTTTAAAGAATGAGTTCTTGTAAAACAGTATATATTTTACTTCCTGCTGTAAAACTCTTGATGTTTCTTCTTGTTTATCACATATTTGCATTTTAAAACTTACTACTTATTGAAAAAGAATAAACTGATTAGGCTGAAAGATCTAACATAATAGAGCAGTAACACGTGTGGCAGTGATTAGTGGTACTTGGAAAGAAGCATCGTTTTTTTATATTGCAAAACCAAAACAGCATTACTTTGTATGGAATTTCCGAGAAATGCTATATAGCGGTGAATTATGGACGATCTGTCTTCAATTTGGACGGGACTGCTATAGTACAGAGAGAACGCAATACGTCCTCATATTGTTCTTGCGTAAGAAATCAATATACCAAGACAAATGGAAATGAATGGTCGACAGGTTTGTTGTGCAAGACATTCTCGTTACAAAGTTTCCTCCCTCCTTCTTTGATAATATAAAAAAATAAATTACTAAGAGTGCAATCTTAATAAAACATTTTCTGTGAAAGGTGTTTTTGCGTACTATTTCTACCTCATATTTCATCCAAGTGTCGCAATCAACAAAAATCGGACACGTCTTGATAAGAATGAAATGCTGGGAAAAGTAAAATAAAAATAAAAGATATGTAATTCGAAAGGCGATAATAATCTTCGAAGAAAGTAGAACTTTGATAAAAAACGAGGAATGAAAATATGTAAAAGAGTAACGAACAGAACGAGAAAATAAATAGAGAAATAAAGCAAAAAAATGCTGAAAAAATGCCAAAATTAATAATAATAATAATAATAATAATAATAATAAAAGGTAAAGGAATGAAGTTTTAAACAAAGGAAGAATGAAGAACCCAATTAGTCCAGTCACACCAATTATTCCGGTCCCGAAAAAAATTATGGAATATTTTTTCTCACCGGTTCTGCAGGTTTTTTGGAGTGCTGAATTTGAATTTGAATTTTTTTACTTATATGTCGATAACTATGCGCTTCATCGAAAGATTTTCATAAACAAATTAATCTAGACAAAATTCTCTACAACTTGCGTATATTAGTTTTAACGTTTTGACAATACTTCAAACCCAAGAGCACCCTGAAAAACGGCGACGTTGCCCTCTGGATAAAACTGGAGAAAACTTTCTTCCGTCTGATTATTTTGACGCTCTAGTTTCACTACATCATCACTAATCGACTATGACGAATGAATTACTTGCATTTTCGGCTAATTCATAAAAGCCTTGAATACTGAAGAAATTTTTCGTCACCACTGTCATCACGAACCCGGCCTTTTTGAGCACCAAGTGACTGGACTAAATGCAATCAATCATTCAACGAACAATGGAACACAATGTATCCCCAAAAATCAAATTATTGATCAATAATAAAGAAGTCAAGAAAAGCAAGATAATAGAAGAAATGAGGTTGTTGAAAAGAGAATAATAGTGGAAACATTTACACCTTTTTGAAGCAGGAACGTTTAATATGGATGTCTCAAAAGAAATTGGAAACCGAAGGACAGTGGTTGGAGAAAAGTAATAAAATATCTGTGGAAAACGTTTGAAGTGGATAGCAGCCCCGAAGTCAAAGTAGACATAAAGAAAAGAATTAGCAAGGGAGATGTGAATGGGCAGGGTCCAAAGAAGTCGCCGAGCGCAAACAAATAGCAGAGAGAATTGGACGGGAGGACTGCGTCGGGTGGGGCTCGAGAACAAGAACTAAGAGGAGCGAAAAAACTCGTTGGATAGGTGGTGTTCGTCGAACTGTTGTTATTGGCTTAGGCAGGCGACCAAAAAAGAAGAGATAGTGTTATTACAGATGGTGGTTGAAGAATAGGTCACGATGTCGATTGATCAAGGTAGCAATTAACCAGAATCATCACGAGCCGAAGAGACCAAGAAACCATTCCTGAATCATCTGCCGTAAACGGGGGGGAGGAAATCGCCAAGGTGAACGCCACCTCCAAGGATTTGCGGCCGGCCCTTTCTACACCATATCCGGCCCCTGCGCTGGGCACGCAACGCACCCTTCGGCGCCTGCGACGGCGTCGGGAATCGATCCCACGCAACGGCGCGGCAGTGGCGGCGACGCGATCGCGTATGCATCAACCATACATATGGATAAGGTGCGGCATCTCACCCCACCTCACCCCTTCTCTCCGCCTCGCCCCACCCACCCCACTCCTCCCCATCGCTCCGCCCCAATCCACCCCACTCCACCCGTCCTCATCGCCTCACTCCACCCCACCTCCATTCCTCCCCTCTCGCGCCTACTCGCAGCACTCCCCGCCTCCTAGAAGTCACAATGATTTTTTTTTAATACTGGAATTTTTTTGATGCATCGGTATACGAACACCGAACATCTGTTTGGATACACTACTGCAGTACATCGAAAAATGTTAATATTTTAAAGTTATTACTATTTCAGAGATGTAATGTAAGAAATTAAGAATATAAGAAAATTGATTAACTTCAGAGCCAAGTGACTTTCGTTACCCACCTGTTTTACTCGTACATTGGATGTATTGCGTAAGAAAAATATCATGTATTTTTAGACAAGGCATTTAAAATGTATTATGTAAAAAAATATGTATGTTCAATTCTAAAAGCAATTCGTAAATTTTAATATGTATTTGTACAAATCGTGGAGGTTTTTATCTGGAGAATTTTCCAGGAGTTGGGCCCAACAGGATTTTGTGCTGGGGGATTCCCAGTTAATCATCTCACGAAAGATATGTAGAATTCTTTCCTACGACCCGTTCCGTCCCTCAGAACCTCGCCACACTATGTCTTGACCCAAACTGATGTATGCGAGACGAGTAAGACCCGATGAAGAAATAATATTTCCAAACGTTGGCAAACCCAAATAGTTTTTCGTTTACCTGAGCAACATACATTTACCTATTGAATAATAATATTTGACATTTTTTGCCAGTCAATTTGAGTTACTGTCTACCGCATACCGGTTTCAGTCTTCGAACGTCCTTCAACACAGCTATCGCCTTTTCTGCCCCGCCCCTACTCGCGTGTCGCCTGCAAAGCCCCCGTGTGGGGGCGTGGCCGGGCGGCGCCTACTTACGTCGGGCCACATCTTGGCGGTCATGGTGACGGACTGCTGGAACAAGCGCGTGCCCAGGTGGCCAGAGCCCGGCGGCGGAGCATCCCCTGCAACAGGCAGCGCGCGCTCA